CTCTTCTGAAGCTTCCCAAGCCTCAAAAGAGTCCCTGAAGGTGGCGATTTCACCTGTGCTGGCCCCATGGGGGTGGGGGGGAGCATCGCAAGGGTCTTGGAAGGCTCACTCAGACACTTGCGATGCTCCCTCCCCCACGGGGCCAGCGCAGGCAATATTGCCAGCTTCCAGGACCTTTTGTGAGGCTTGAAAGGCTCAGAAAAAGTCCTGGAAGCTGGCAGTTTCGCCCCTGCTGGCCCTGTGGGGGTGGGGGGAGCCCTGCAAGGGTCCTGGAAGGCTCACTCACACCCTTGGGAGGCTCCCCCCCAACGGGGCTGGGGGGGCAAAATCACCACCTTCGCTCCATAAGACGCACAGGCTTTCTACCCCACGTTTTGGGGGAGAAAAAGTGTGTCTTATAGAGCGAAAAATACGGTACTTCTTCAAAAACAAAGATTTTAAATCTAGGGCATTTTAAGATTACTCTTTTTGTCTTGTCTTAAAAGTATCAGAATACTTTTTGTTGTAAAAAGCCACGAAACACAGGGCAACTCGAAAAGGGGAGGGGGATCCAGGCTATAAAACCGAGAGGCCTAGATTACATTATTTAGAAGAACTTGATCAGTAGACATGTCTTCATCTGATACCCTAAACCTCACAAGAATGTCAACAGTTGGGTCTCTCTGGGAAGGTTCTAATGCAACAAGGGTGCCACTGCACAAAACAACAACAACAACAAAAAACACACCCTCTTTCTGATAGTTTACCTGCCTCACTTTGTTTGACAGGAACAGACCTCTGAGGAAAAGGTAGCTATGAAGGAATCAGTTTTTCTGATTTTCTTGTCCCAAGCCATCTGTGGCATTAAAGTTTCAACCCAGCATGTGGTACTGGGCCTCGAAACAGATGGGCAAAGCACAGGTGTCATTGCTGTCAAATTGCTCAGTCCGATGTAGCAGTTTAGCAGCCCTGGTTTACATCAAATTCAGTGTTATGATTTTGTATTATTACATCAGAGTACTTTTTTCCTCTGCAGGTGTTCCCACCCTCCTTAAAACTAGAGTCTGCCAGGGTCTTGTGAAAACGCTTCATTGAGGCTTGCTACATCTGTTTTGATTTTTTTCTTAAGATTAAAAATAAAGGTAAACACTTTGGAATTTTGCCCCACAGGCTTTGACTACAAAACATGCAATGTCCTTGTGGCATTGGAACAGCAGTCACCTGACATTGCCCAGGGTGTCCATCTGCACCGGAGTGAAGAAGAAGTTGGTGCTGGGGACCAGGTAATAAGCCTGTTAATGATTCAAGAGAGTCCAATGCAGTCTGTCTCTGTTGTTGCAGATGTTGAGTGTACAAAGGGCAGCAAGCAGTTAGTCTTTTATTTCCTTGGAGATTTTTGGTAGATGGTGTTCAGAGATTTCTGGCTGCCAGGAACACTTCTAGAATGTTGGGTGGATAGAGTTGTGTTGCTTAGAGATGCTGCCTGTTTTGTGCGTTTGTTTTCAACCTGCTTAACCTGTACATTTACATAGCAAGTTCTGACAAATGTAACTGTATGCCTCTAGTATTTTCTTCCTGCAAGGAAAATGGAAATGTGAAAGACAGCTGTGAAAGCACCTACCTCTTGTGCTGCGATTGCGCAGAAAAAAATGTGGGAAGTAGTGTGGGTTTGGGACTGGCTGGTTCACATTTTTTTCATGGATGACATGATGCAAAGGGAAATGCAAATCAGCCTAGAGTTCACCCCAATTCATAGTTTTTCCCCTCCACCTCTAGGGCTTCTTCTTCTTTTTTTTTTTTAAAGAACTGGATCCATTCACATAAGTTCAGATGTGTGATTAAACCAATGCAGAAAAGGGGAAATGAGCTGCATGCAGACACAGGAGGATGAGACACACGCAAACACACACATACCCTTTCTCACCTCTTTCCTCACGACAAAGAATAAGCTATGCATACGAAGACTCACCTTTCCCCTCCACTCTTTTTACAGCTTCTTTCTGTGGGTGGAGAGGAGAAAGCTACACACACTGAGAAACAACACAACTAAAGCCCAGCCAGCAAGATTTTTCTTTTCTTTTTCTCCCCACCCTCCTTATTTTCCAAACAAGTAAAGGCAAAGCCTCTTGGTTTGTTCTTTCACTGCTTGCAGCAGATCTAAAAAGGCAGTTCCCTTTTAACTGTGCCACCTGCTGGCCTATTGAAAACAAGTCTCTCTCTCTCTCTCTCCCTCTCCTTGTTGCAAATTCACAGCAAATGAATGCAAGTGAAATTGCATTTCTTTCATAACCTCAGAGGATGCATAACAGTATATAGAGCTGTGGACAGCAAAAGATTACAGACAAAGTGCAGAGAGATAGTGAAGGAAAGGAAACTAATTTGATATTTTACTGTGCAGAAGGCTAATACTAAGGGTGTAACAAGGATTTTGCATCTCTTTGCTGGAATTGTCAACTTCTAACTTATACACTCTTCAGTTTCAAATCATATGTAGGGATGGCTAACCACTTCAGACTAAAGAAAGAACGTATTCACGAAGGCTTTCATGGCCGGGATCTAATGGTTGCTGTGGGTTTTTCGGGGTTTTTGGCCATGTTCTGAAGGTTGTTCTTCCTAAAGTTTTGCCAGTCTCTGTGGCCGGCATCTTCAGAGGAAAGAACCTCATGAAGAAAATAAATTAGGAAATAAATTGATAAACATATCTGCCTCCCTATTCTTGTCACTGAAAAACAGTAATTTCCTTCCCACTGCAGGGCTTGATGTTTGGCTATGCAACAGATGAGACAGAAGAATGCATGCCCTTGACCATCATGCTGGCTCACAAACTGAATGCCAAAATGGCCGATCTGAGACGCAATGGAATCCTCCCTTGGCTTAGACCAGACTCCAAAACACAGGTACTATTTAAGGATTTTGCGAATTTTCCTTCCTTCACCAAACTAGAGACAAAAAAATGAATCCATTGGGTGACTGGTCAAATAAATGCTGTTTCAATACTGAATGGGTTTCATGAATTGAGTGCTCAGATAAGTTACAAATATTAAAATAATAATAATCTGCTTTTTACCCAGAGGTATTTTCACCTGCCCCCACCAAGCCCTACCAACTTTAAGAATTTTTGGCTTGGGATTTTTATGTTCTCCTGCATTAAACGTAGGAGGACTCAAAACAATGTGTAGTGATTTTTTTTATTCCTTCCTCCCTCCCATTCATAATGTTTCTCCTTTCTTTCAGATCACAGTTCAGTATATTCAGAAAGATGGTGCTGTTATCCCCGTGCGCGTTCACACCATCGTCATCTCTGTGCAGCATGATGAAACCATCTCTTTGGATGCCATGCGCAAGGCCCTGAGGGAGCAAGTGATCAAGATTGTGGTTCCAGCCAGATATTTAGATGACAAAACAGTTTACCACCTTCAACCCAGTGGCCGATTTGTCATCGGAGGGCCCCAGGTGTGTTTACTGTTTTGATTCTTTGAGATTTCATGCAAATATACAGAGCTGTGCAGTTTCTCTCTAGAATGGCATCTTTCCTACAGCAGAAAGTGCACAGACTGTGCATAATTTGACAGTTTTTAATGCTGAATGTCGTTTTTCTTGCACAGATTTCCTCTGCATTTCCTCTGTTTCCCCAGAAAGTGTACTGAGCTGTACAGCATTTGGCACCTTCCTGTGCATAAGAAACAGGCAAATAGCATGTGGAAAAGGTTTGGGAAAAAGAGATTGCGGACTTATTTTTGCAAGAAGCTGGGAAATATCACTGGCAGTGGGAAAGTTGCAGAAAATTGCCAAGAATAAGAAAATTTTGAGTACTTGTGGTATCCATATTTTATGGTGGTTGTGGTAGCATTTTAGAACTTAGTATTGTCATTGTACTGGTTATTTTAATCTACACAATGATGGTGGATTTTAGTACCGGACAATTTCTATTAGAGAAACAATGTGTAATGTTTTTAAGAAACAAACTAACCAATAACTCTATCTTGTGTTTGATGTTAGTGGCACTTGTTTATAGATACGTTCACAGATGATTCCCACAACATTAACCTTCCTACAGCTTAACTGACATGATATTTGACACATAGATAGGTCCACGGGGTATTAAAGATGTACAATCAGTTAAAGCAAACTTTCCCACCTTTGTGATATATTTTGGAATATGAAACTCATGAGCCCCAATGGTTAGGAATGATTTATTTATTTATTTTTATTTATTTATTGTATTTATACCCCGCCTATCTAGTCATTTCGACCACTCTAGGCGGCTTACAACATAAAGGATAACAAGTTCAAGAAAAAATTATAACAATTAATTAATTAAATGATTCTGCAAGATGGGAAAAATACAAAATAAATCAAATAAAGAGAAAAAGAATAAAAAAGGAAAGAGGACAGGAATTAAATGGAAGGGAAGGCCTGCCTATACATCCACGTTTTTAGTTGGTTCTTAAAAGTACCCAGCAAGGTAGATAGAGGGGATACTAGCTTGGGGGAGATCAAGAGAGAGATTCACTGTAGGTTTCTAGGGCATTTTTAAAGGAAGCTTTTTGCTAAATAGCTTCCACTATGTGTGCTTCCCTAAATGGCATCTCACCTGGAAATATAGGCACAGCCTCTTTGCTTGTCATGTTGTAGGGTGATGCTGGAGTTACTGGCCGGAAGATCATTGTGGATACTTACGGTGGATGGGGAGCTCACGGAGGAGGAGCCTTTTCAGGCAAAGACTACACAAAGGTTGATCGGTCGGCAGCGTATGCAGCCCGCTGGGTTGCTAAGTCTTTGGTGAAGGCAGGGCTGTGCCGTCGTGTCCTGGTCCAAGTAAGTGCCCTTTTGATCTCTCATCTCACCGCTAATTTTACAGTCATTAAGCAAAACTAGATTTTAGCTGTCTACCTGGCACTAAAATGGACAGATACACATTGCCTGCCCCACCCCCATGTCTAGTGATATAAATCACATGGCATTAGCCTGTTACAAGTCTGCCTGCTCCAATTCATTGGCCACTGCATGGAGGGAGCAGGGAAACCTGCAGCACAAGAAACTTTATCCTATTATTGTTGTTGTTGTTGTTGTTGTTGTTGTTGTTGTTGTTGTTGTTGTTGTTGTTGTTGTTATACCCAGCATTGGCAACAGGGCTAGAGGGGAGTTTCCAGCCCCACTCTCATCCATTACCATTTCTTCCATTCAAATAGTGATGAGGCATTCCTGCATATGTGTAGCTTTGCAAGCAGCAAAGCAGATTTCCAGGATTCTTGCTAACATGTAGAGCCTACACATGAACAGGAACCTCTCCTCTTCAAACTTGTTATTTCTCAACGGAGAAAGTCATGAAGAAGGGGCAGGACTGAACACACTCTTCATCCATACTGATTGCCATGGATACAGCAATGCTTGAATAGCATTAAAGTGTCCGTGGTATATGCAACTACACCAGGGTGGCTTCCCAGGTGCTTTGATCTGTACTGCTCCCACAGAACCTTACTGTTGGCAGGTAAACTCATTTGGAGGGCCAAAGATTTGCTTTCCCTGGACTAGGCATAACTTGCAACAGAATGAAACTGTCTGTGGGATTGTTTTTTTTCCCCAGTGGTAACCTTGCATCTGCAGTTAGTTCCACTTGGACATTATAGTTTTGTATGGGAAGAAATGACATTGCAGGTGTCTTTGACATACTCATGGCTCATGGGTTAAAGATATAAGAAGTTGCTTTGTAAACAAGTTAGACCAGTAGTTCCTCAAGCCCAGTAATACAGAACTTTCACCTGTGACAATCATCCTTAGTATTTAGATAGCACTCCTGGTGTGTTCAAAGCATTTTTATGTATATTACAGCAGTCCTGTAAGTAGGACTAGTAGAACTCGTGCAATTATCTTTTATCTCTTTTGGCATCAGTATTGGACCTCTTGTGAGGGTATTCAGTCTGTCCCTAGGCAAATGGATGTCAAATAGATCAGTAGGCACGCTCATAGCTCCCCCCCCCAAGAGGGTCACACCTTGGTTGTTTTCTGTGGACCATGCTCATTAGTGAGAGAAATAATCAACATACATACAGTATCTGGAATGTGGAGACCTGTAAAGAGAGGTAGAATTGGGTTAGTATCTTTCATTTGGGCTAGCCTCTGCAAAGAGGGGCATGATCTGTAACTAGGATAAATGGTTTCCCAACAGACAATACGGAACAAATTGTCTATAATAGCCTGCTAACCCTAGGAACTGTTGTGCTTCTTTCTTGGTCATGAAAGTTATCTTTTCTTTAGCCTCTGGTTCCAAGGGTACCTGCCAGTAGCTCTTAGCTAGGTCTAATGAAGTGAGGTAACTGGCTCATCCTAGTCGCTCCAGCAGTTCATTAACCCTAGGCGTGGGGTATGTGTCAAATTTAGACACAGAACTGACATTTCTAAAATCAGTGCAAGATTGTTCCGCTTCCATCAGGTTTGAGTACAAGCATGGGCTGGCTTCACCAGGGGCTACGAAAAGGCTTAGTCCCAGCTCTGATGTGCTATCGATCTCTTCTTCAATCATTGTACCCTTGCTGTAGCCAAAGTCTGCCCGGTGCCTTTACTAAAACCCTGCGGTAAGCACTTAAGATGGGTATGCCCAGGGTGGGTAGAAAAAATGGCGGTAGAAGGAAAGATGTTGAGGTCAACTCCAGCTGTGGGTTAGTGCCCACCTGCTGACACCCCTCCTTATTCAAAACCTTCATTGTATGCAATAGCTGTGGAGGGCAAGGGGCTACAGCTACCCTTGTCTTCTACCACAGTGGTCCCCAGCCTTGGGCCTCCAGATGTTCATTGACTACAACTCCCAGAAGCCTTCACCACCACCTCTGCTGGCCAGGATTTCTGGGAGTTGAAGTCCAAGAGCATCTGGAGGCCCAAGGTTGGGGACCACTTCTACTGTACAGTACTTTGATCCCTTTCAGCTACATCCATACCTTTTCAGCAAATTCAAAGTAACCATTTGTTTTCATTTTAAAGTAAAATGCAGTTCTCTCCCTTCTCAAGTTGGGAGATAGCTATGCAGTCTGTATGCAGATGGTGGGCAGTACCCTTCCCACCCGTAGTATTTGGTTTTTGGTGCTGTGGTTGTCCTATGATTTAGACGGAGCATGTGCACACCAGGCCTACTAATAGTGTCTTTTTGTTCCTAGGTTGCCTATGCCATTGGTGTGGCTGAGCCACTCTCCATCTCACTCTTCACTTATGGTACCTCTACAAAGTCTGAACAAGAGCTGCTAAACATCGTGCACCAGAATTTTGACCTTCGGCCTGGAGCCATCGTCAAGTAAGGACTTTATAAGCTCTTCTTTCTGCATGATAGAAGCAAATGGCTGCAGTCTTTCTGTTGAAGGTGTATGCACCAAAAAGTATCTACTTCTGAATTTCTGGTTATAAGGCAACAGCCCCAGTTGATGCCTTTTCAAATTGTTATTATCAAGCATACATCTTCCTTTCTGCCAGTGGGTTCAAGGCACCATAGGTGGCTCTCCATCTCCTGACTTTTATCCCCACAGCAATTCTGTAAAGTATGTCATACAAGTGAGTTAGTGAGTGAGTGAGTGAGAGAGAGAGAGAGAGAGAGAACTATTGGTTCAAGCTCAGCCAATGAGTTTCATGCTTTTTTCATGATTTTCTTGCATCCCAAACCATTACTCCACTACCCTAACCAGGCTCTCTGTTTTTTTTCCTATTCCAGTGCTTGTACAGCCTTAAATCTTCCTCCATGATAGCTAGATTGCTACTGGAACTGGGATGTGTTGTGTTACCTATCTCCTTGCTTTTCACTTTCTCATCCAGGATGCTGCTGCTGTGGCTTTTTAAAAAAGTGTATAGCTTGATATCTGGTGGTTGGACTACATGAGACACTCTGTAATGGCTCTGGCCATCTTTGTTCATACAGGCTTTTAACAGTTAATTGGGCTGTTTTTAATTTTGTGTGCTGGACACTATTATTATCCTATGTGTGTTTGAAGGTATTTTCAAAGAGGTTTTAAACAATTTTGACTAACTTTTTAAATACCGTTGTATGTTTAAGTGTGTTTTAGTACCATAGTTCAAACAAAACAAAACAAAAAAAAACCAGAACCAATTCAACATAAAACAGTATTTAAAAAGTTAGTCAAAATTGTTTAAAACCTCTTTGAAAATGCCTTCAAACACACATAGGATAATTGTGTTTTAATATAATTTAGAGACGTGGTGGTGCTGCGGATTAAACTGCAAAGCCTCTGGGCTGCAAGGTCAAAAGATCAGCAGTTCGAATCCACGCGAGGGAATGAGCGCCCGTCGCTTGTCCCAGCTCCTGCCAGCCTAGCAGTTCTAAAGCATGTAAAAATGCGAGTAGATAAATAGGTACCACCACGGTGGGAAGGTAACGGCATTCCGTGTCTAGTCGCACTGGCCACGTGACCACGGAAACTGCTATGACAAAACGCTGGCTCTACGACTTGGAAAAAGGGATGAGCACCGCGCCCTAGAGTCGGACACGACTGGATTAAATGTTAAGGGGAACCTTTACCTTTACCTTTTAACCATAATTTATTGTGGTTTTGGCCGGATTGTCTTTTAATAACTTGTGAGCCACCTTGGATCTCTTAATCCGCAGGAAGGTAGCATAAAAATGAAAATACTAAATAAATAGCTCCATGAAGTTAAAATATCTGTTCTCCTAGGACAAGCTTTTCTCACTTCAACATCACACATATTAGTTTACTTTCATTTGGGATCAGTCATGTAAATACCGGCTTCATTTGGAAATCTGATTACTCAGACATAAAATCCCAAGGAAACCCATCACTGATGGGCAAACATGGCATTAATTTCTCATTATGAATTGACTGTATTGGGTAGTTTCACCCTGGGTGGCCTCCAGATTTTTGCTCAGAACAGATAGGTTTAATTTACTGCTCGTAGAACTCTGCTCATTGAGAAGAGAGGCTGAGTTTCAGGTAGTGATTTAAAATCTGAGCTTTGTCAGAATGTTGGATCCGCAGGGGCTACACCAGATCTGCCAGCCAGGGGAGCAGATCCTTTGGGACAGGAGGCCAGAATTAGAGAGCATATCGGAAGGTCCACAAGATTAAAAAAAAATGCATTCAGCATTACAGAGAAAGATTGTTCCTTCTCCAATAGATTTTAGTCTCCCAGAATGACATCTGGGTTCAGAATCCACACCAAACACGTCCTACAAGGTGATCATTTTACACCGTTGTCACCTGAGGGGTGAACAAATTCCAGCCAAGTTACAGTCACTTCCTGTGTAGTCCATTTGTTTGACAGACAAAAACGTGCTGGGCAAAATTTATCCCTAAAATATTGATTGTATTTTTTGTTACAATGGTACTTTTATTGTCACAGCCAGTGTAATACATTTTGGGAGAAACTGCCCCATGCTTAGGTAGCTGTGCTGCTGAAAAGCAGAACTGACATAAGCTGGTTGTTATTCGACTGGCTTCAGGGGGATGGAGGCTGGAGTGAGGGCGCTAAAATTCTCAGTGGGTTCAGAATATACAAGACTTGTGTCTTTAACCATTCTGCTCACCCCACATAGAGTGCTAATTTTAAATGCATTTGGTTTTCCAGGGGATCAGAGAGATCTCGCTCAATGTAGGTTGAGTGTTGTGTTTTCCACTTGTGTGAGTTTTGAAAGTGCCTCATACTTTTCTTTCAAATACAGTGGTGCGTCGCTTAACAAGCGCACCATTTAACGACGAATCCGCATTGCGATGTTTAGATAGGCAAAAACTCGCATTGCGATGTTTTTACAACAGCTGATTGGTGGTTCCAAAATGGCCAATGAGTGCCCAAAATGGCCGCCGCAAGTGTTTTCGCGTCCTGCCCTCGCTTACCGAGGGTGCGAAAATGGCGGCGCTATGATTGCTGAACGGTGAGTTTGGGCCCTGTAGGAACGCATTAAACTAAGTTTAAAGTGTTCCTATGGGGTTTTTCGATCTGTTTAGCAATGTTTTTGCATAGTGACGATTAATCCAGAACGGATTAACGTCGCTATGCGGGGCACCACTGTACCATAAAACAACTTCTGAGATACCTTTTGAAGTTCCCAGAAAATAAATTGTCACACATGCATCCTCATAACTACCTAGGTCTATATCCATGACTGTGTCAGCTGCTTTGTCTGACCCATATGTGGCCCCTACCTCAACAAACAGGCATCCTTGGCTTCCAAAGTAGTTTTGGCAGCTGCTGTCTGTTCTCTCTTTCCCCATCTAGGCTGCCTCCATTCCATGTAGAAAATGCAAATGGCTATATCATGATTTTATACTGCATCTGCTAATGCCATTTTCCATTTCTTTCTTGGATGATTAGGGATCTGGATCTAAAGACGCCCATCTATCAGAAGACCGCCTGTTATGGTCACTTTGGAAGAAGTGAATTCTCTTGGGAGGTACCCAAGAAACTGGCATTTTAATGATCACCAGGCTGACCTGCTTAAGATTATATGGATTTCACAACAAAGGGTGCTTCCACTGACCATCCTCTTAAACTGAGAGAACGGAGAAAGGATATTTTCATGGAACTGCCATTGTTTGTATTCTCAGCGTCTCGCCCCTCACATATACACATATACAGATGATCAGAATGCAGAGGAATACCATTTTCAAACTTTTTCTGTTGCTGCTATGTTGTGTTTTTTCTCCACTTAGAAACACAACGTAGAACTTGGACCTGCCATCAAACCATGAAATGTTTGCCTTCATTGCTGCTCCTCTTTACTCATACA